GCTCGGCACGGCTCGGCACGGCGCGCCATGCTCCGCAGCGGCCCCGGCGCGGGGCTCGTCCTGGCGGCGGCCGCGGCGCTCTGCCTCGGCGGGGCGGGAGCCAAGGTAACCCCGGCACCGGCGGCACCCGCACCGGGCAGGGCAGCGCGGCAGCGGCCAGCCCGACGGGGATGGGGAGCCCGGGAGCCCCGCCGGGAGGAGGGGAGGAACCGAGAGTCCCGGGGCGAGGGGTGCGGCAGAGCTGCCGGCAGCCCGGGTGAGGGGTGCGCTGGTGCTCCCGGGACGAGGGATGCGCCGCGGACACCGGCAGGGAGGATGAAGCGGGGCGGCCGCGGGTCCCTTCGGCCCCTGCCTCTCGGTGTTTGGGGTGAAGGGCTGGCCGGGGACTCGCCTCGGAGTGCGAAAGGCACTGCGAGACGTAGAGAGAGATGCTCCGGGACTCCGGATCAACCCCACCGCTTGGGTACAGCCGGACCCGAAATCCGGTGAAAGCCCAATCACTACGGATTCCCAGCAGAAATGAGAACGCTTGCCCACAGGCATCCCTGCCACGGGCACAGCCTGACTTGGGGAGTCCAAACCAAATACCTCGTGCTGGTTACAGCCCCCGCTCTTTGCACCTCGGCTGGAGCAGGGGGAGCAGGTAAACTCTGCCCGTGCCAGGTACGGCTCCAGGGCGGGGACCCGGGCAGAGCTCAGAGCGAGCGGGCACGGGGAGCTGAGAGAGGCTGAGCACGGGCGGCACCCGAGCTGCGGTGGAAAGGCAGAGCAGGAAACACGGAGCACCCCAGAACCAGGAGCAGCTGCAGGGCAGTCGCTCTGAGCTTTGGGAAGGATGAGCAGTCCTGGTCCTGCTGAAGGCAGTGGGACTTTTCCTATGGACCCTGATAGAACCACGGCTTGACACTTCCAGTAGAGATTCTCAATTCTATAAAACGTGATCCACTAGAGTATAAGAAAATATAATTCCATACATGTATGGCTTGCTACATATATATGTATCTATAAAGAAAAAAAAGGTGTGGGGTTGCTTTCTCTGCTGGCAAACGGCATTATAATTCTGCCTGATAAAGTAATTCCCTGCCACAGCACACAGCACACAGCAATGACTGTGTTTGAAATGAAGATGTTTTATCTCACTTTGGTATCCTAGTGAAGATAGCTACAGTGAGAACTTAATTAAGCCACATTTCTGGCCCTGAAATACTAACTTTACCCAGATCTATTGAATTGTATGGTTGTGGGGCTTTGTATTTTGTTTCTCTTTCAAGTCAGGATTGCATTGCAGAATGCAAGCTTACCCTCATCCAGTTGCATACTTCTCTTATTAAACTACATAACTTGCTTTCTTCCCTGAATTATTGCATCCTTCCTGTGCTGCTTCTCTTCTGCCTTTGCCTGCACAGTTCTGTACAAGTACCGGCTCTGTGCTGTGCATTTGGGGGAGAAAGGCACTCTGAATGCATCAGCAAACTCTCTAATTTTTGCTAATTTTTCTCTAATGTTTCCTAGTCAACTTCATTTGTTCTCTAACTCTGAAATCAGGAGTGTTTGATTTCACACGAGGCAGTAACTGAACTAAACTATTGACCAACAGCTCTGTAGAAAAGAAATTGCCTCCTTAATGAAGAAGCAGCAGTCTCCTTCCTGCTTTCCCCAACTTGACTTCTTGCTGTGTCAATTATTCTTTTGATCACATTGTTTATAGGCTCTTAACATACTGGACAATTTCTTTTGCAGAGTGAAAAGCATTTTCTATTGCTTATCTTCCCCGATGTGACAGGGAATTCTGTGTCCAAACAGACTTGTGTGTACATCTCTTGCTCCCTGTTTTTATTATTTCTTGGAGTAAGTTGCACTTGCTCTTCACTCATCAAGGACTGCACTGTGCTGCGTAGGCGTCACTATTTTTATCTTTTTGGCTACACTGATAGTGTTGCTATGCTAGTAAAGAAATATACATCCCACTCTAAGTTAGTGGTTCAAATGTAGTTCAATTTATCAGTTGAAAAAAGGTATTCAACGATTTATGAGAATTTTTTTGTCTTCTGGCTTAGAGTTAGCAATGTAAAAACATAACAGAAACTCCCTTGGCAAGGGCGAAGTCTGAATGAGGTACAGGGAACTGAATTGTTCTTTTCATCCAGGAAGGTGGTCTCTGCCAGTAAGAGCTGACAAAATTTGTGATGTTGTGAGGTAGCGTGGATGTTTGCAACATGTTTTGTGGCAAAGCAGAGCTCTCTCTGGAATCCTTCACCAAGTACTACAGCAATTTAAAAGTAGGAGTTAGATCAAATGAAAGAAAATTTGAAGATAAGGTGCATGATGTTTCCTCCTGCGTGTCTGTATCAAATGGAACAAGATGTGCAGATAAGCGGCTTGTTTATCCTGAAGGAAGAATGTAAACCTGATGAAAGAGTAACACAGTCAAAATTATGTCTCTGTATGTCCATTAAATATTATCTGTTTAATCAAATCGCTGTGGAGGAGTTCTCTATGCCAGTGCCATCCTTCATCTGGTATTCTTCTGTTCACTTGCTGGCTTAAAGAAAAAAAAATCAAGCCTTTCTTGTTCTGTTTAAGATTTCTTCTTAGCAATCCTAGACCCTCTAGTGAAAGTCTTAGTCCTTTACCCAGCAAGAACAATGGCAAAATTCCTGCTGGTTTCAGAGGGAGCAGGATCCTTCCCAAGATCAGTGAAAGATTAAAAAAAAAATCAACTACTAAAATATGCACCTCAATTAGCAAAGAATGTGGCCTGATTAGTAAAGTGTATGAAATTTCAGCTATTAAATTCTACAGCCCTGATCAACAAAGCACGCTGCACAGTTGGCAATGTATCCAGAATCTCAACTACTGTACTAGTCTCCTACCAGATCAACCAAGCATGCAGCTGAATCAGTAAATTATGCAACTGGAGCAGCAAAATATGCACTTCTGATTGGGGCAGGAGGGTAGGGAAGGTCTCAAAGGTTTTAAATTGGCACACAATAGGTCTGTCAGTGGTCAGCATCTGCCTTGAGAAAATTAGGGGCAAAATAAGTGACTTTTACTAAGTCTTTCTGGACCCTTGCTGGACTGGAAAAGTATGTCCCTCAAATAGCTCAGTGTTTGTTAGCAGCAGTCCCATTTTTTACCAGATGTACTGCACATCTGGTTCCAATCCCAGCAGCTACCAGGTGTGGGGGTTATTTTTGTAACACTTTAATGGGATTTTTAGGTCCAGGTAGCTTTTGCTTTATTCCTCACTGTAAAGCACTGGGTATGCACACCAGGCTGTTTTTCTGTCTCAAGAGATGAAGCCAGTCAAGACAAATAAGGCACCTTCAAAGAACCTGAAAGTTTTGTTTGCAGTAGACTTAATATCTATTATTCTCTTCACTGTTTGTGAAAGTACTTTTTGCTTGAGGAGCAGAGAAATGATAGGTCTTTCCTGTTTTCTTTGTATCTTGATTAATTGCCATAACTGCATCCTATTGTGTTTACAATGTATCTTGGCAGATCAGATGTTTACGGTGCAGAGAGTTTGGATGTTTGGCCAGTTTGGGGAGCAGCTATCTTCATATATTCTGAAGCAGTAGAGCTGTGTTTCCCTAGCCCCTATGTATGTGCTTTAAAATCCAGTCAAAGTGGCTGGTTCTGAACTTCAGAAGCTGTTTTTTCTTTAAATTATTAATTTTTCTTTATACAGAAGACCTGCAGGTTGTCCTGTTTTAATAAAGATGCCGTTTCAGGGTTTCTATAAACCACTTTTTTTTTTTTCCCTGATGTCTGGAAGTAAACAGTGTTAAACTGCCTGGGCTCAAGGAAGGCGTGAGCATTGCTTTGTTTTATTGCATTGTTCACTTTAGTACCCAGGAGCCTGGAACATTATTTGAGTCTAAAACTTATCTGGACTTGTGGTTTTTTGTTGTTTTGGTTCATTTTTTTCTGCCTTTGGTTTTTTTTTGGTTTTTTTTTTTTTGTGTTATTGTTTTGTTGGCTTTTTTTAATCCACTAAATTTGGTTCATAAAGCTGGCTTGTGTTGGACTTCTTATTTACCAAATTTCTGCCTCATTTCCAAGTCAGTTCAATGAATGATCCTATTTAGTTCTTTTTCCTGTTTAAAATATTTCCTACTGAGTCCAGAGCAGTGCCCTTAAAACATAATTGATTTGGGTCATTGAACCCTTATTTTTCATGCATGTTAGTTTACATCCCGCCACTGGTCTGACTGGTATTTAAATTAGAAAATTGCAGGCGGATTTCTTCTAGAGGCTAAAGTTCACGTGGAGTCTCTGGCAAAATAAGATCCTGGAGTACATATCCCTGGAACTGGGCAATGATTTGTAACTCTTTTTTAATTCTGTCTGGCCAGAGTGTTATAAATCTGGCGCTCGCTTGTTAGCTTCACGCTAAGCAGCAATAATGTCCACAGTGTTTTAGTCCTGATAATTCTAATTACGGAAGCACTGGAGAAGCTGAAAGCTGAGAAGATGGACAAGGCTTGCCTCAAGTCCTGCACAGCACAGGGGATTCTCTCTTTGTAGAGCTGAACCATAATTCTCTTGTTCACCAAGGCCAGCGATGGAAGCAGCCAAGGTAAGAGAAACAAGCCAGTGGCAGAAGATTTCTGGAATTATGTGGGTAATCTTTGTGCAGAAGGAGCTAAAAGACTGTAGTGCTGGTAGAGATACCAACCATCCTTGGGGTCAAAACACTGAAATAATTTTTTTTCTTACTATCTAAGAGGTTGGAGCAAATAGTCCTGTTGTACTGGTTTGCAAAGACCCAGCAATAAAACTTTCCTGTGGTAACCAATTATTACTATTCTCTCCTCTGCTATTTTGTGTGACAGACCAGGAATGCTGGTAAAATATTCAGGTCTCTTTCTTCCTGCCTCCCTTTCTTCATTAAAAAAAGGAAACTCATGGCATATTTTGTACCAGAGAGTGGCTACCCAGCAGTAGTGTAGCTAGACCAGGTCTGGTAAAGCAGTTCTTGCCATTGCACACTGCTCTGTGTATGCACTGATATCCCAGATCTATAAATGATAAGTATTCAGCCTGGTGTTTAGATGCTTCCTTGAATATGGGAAGTACTAAGTAGAAAAGTCATCTTCTTGTACAAAATAATGGCAGGAGAAGGGTGGAGTAGGGACAGGGCACTGCAGGGACTTGCATTAATATGTGTAACAATTTTACAGCAGCAGGGAGAAGCCTGACTGTCAGCCTTGGTTTTCAAACTCAGTGTAAGAACATTGCCATTCCTCTTACAAGCTCTCAGCAGCAAATGGTCCCATGGTTCATTTTGAATATCCTTACTCATGTCATTGCCAATGGAAAGGAGGTTCCAATTTTGAGAGGAGCAGAGGCTAATTTGCCTGTATTTCCTTTCTAGAGTTCTTGGAGCCCTACTGGAGCTCACAGAAGTCATCTGAGACTTCAGGAGGATTTAAATCAGGCCATAAGTACTGCTGGCTTGGATTAGTAATGATGTGCACTGAGGACAGCATCTGTATTTGGGTTTGGGTGGAGCCCTTTCATGGTGGAAGAGTTGGTAATAATTTTACAGTACCTTTCATCAGAGCATTTCAGAGTTTCACAAATGTCTAATTACAGAAACTATTAAACTAAGTGAAATCCTTGGTCCTGGGGGGAGTACAGGCAGTACCATTATGCTTCAATAGAAAGCAGGGGTGGGTGTTGTTCAAAGTGGCAAAACAAAAGCAATTTTTCACATGCAAGCCATAACCTGCTACACCATCTCATTTTCATCCTGTGTTTTACTCCTCTCATTTCTTTATATTAGCAGCCAGGTTTCAACAGCAAATGAGCTCAACAAAATGGGCTACCACAAGCCTCCATTCAGAACTACTGTCAGCTCTTAGGAAGGGATTTCAGAAGTTCATCCATCTCTTACTGATCTGTTTTTGTAGTATTTGTATTTCTTTATTCTGTTCAGGTGTAGCAGGACTTAGCTAGGGTCAGGTGCCAAGGAGGCAAATAATGACAGCTTCCTGGGTACAGGAGCTCTGGGATGACATGCCTCTGAAAGTCCAGCCTGAGCCAAATCCCTGAAAGCTGGTCACTCAGCCTTTGCAAGGACAGTGTGCCTGCTCTGTACTGTGCTTCATTTGGGATTAGCAGTGGGAGATCTAATCCATTTATTCTACTTAAGTCCATCTCTCTCCTGGTCTTGGTTAGTAAATATTCCACTGTTTAGAGACTGAGTTTTTATTAAAGGGATTTTTTGACTGAAAATGTGAAACCTTTACTGGTAGCACTGAGGCTCAAAGCCTGGGATGCCCATGCCCTTGACTTCCTCCTGTGCTCCAGATCTGCATGGGTGGGCACTTCAGGTAAACCTGAGCCTTCACTATTTGAATACAAGGGCCCCAAGGAGCTGCTCATCAAGACTACCTTTAAATGTGAGCTTAGCAGGCTGAACACTTTGATTTGCCTCTAAAATCAACAGTAACTTATTCCAGGTTTCCTGGTTGGAACTTGAATGGGGAGAAAGAAAGGATGTCTGCAAAGCAGATTTATTTAGGAAAACAAACTGCTCACTGGTTGGGACCCTGTAATAACAAACTCAGGCAAAGTTTTTCCTCTGTCTTCAGTATCTGTGATAATTTTTTCAGCTTTCTCCCAGCCCTCCCTGCTGTGCCCTCATGGTCTCTCCTTATGTGTAAGCAATAAAGTAAAATTTACAAGCATCCTGGTCTCTGAAATCCTGGCAAAGACAGAGTCTTGGAAATTTCCCTTTCCAGAGTGCACAAGAGGAGACTAATCCTGGGAGGACAAGGTGGAGAGAGGTGCTGCTGTTTGTATACCATCCAAAAGTAAGGATGAGCACTCAGACCGTAGCAGACCCCTGGATGCAGACCCCTGCAGCTCCAGCTGCAGCATTGGCTCATGTGGAAGGCCAGCTAAAAATCTTGCAAGAAAGGGAGAGAGCTTTTCTTTGCTTGCATTTGAAAGATCACTACCCATGTCTTCTGCACAAGCCCTCCCACCTGCTAGTGACATTTAGTGACACAGCAACCTGGCTCCCAAAAGGCTGGGATAACAGCTCTGCAGCAGGGTAATGGTGACACAGAACATTTGCAGGTTGGTGTTCACATATGGAATGTTTCCTTCTCCATATGTGTGTACAATAGGCTTCCAGCATGTGAAACATCTGAAGTGTCTGAATGAAACAATAAGGTCACGTAGCTGGAAGTCCAAGCACAAACAGCTCTTCTTTTGCCAGGCCAGTTTACACGTATACGTGTGTTTTGTTTGCTTTTAAAAATGCATGTTTATTTCCCAGGAAGTGGCCAGCAAATTTTGCATGGGATTGCCTTTCAATTCTCCTTTCTCCTGTTTCTTGTCCTTTCAAAATGAAACAAAGCATTTTTGGGCACCTAAGGTGCATTTGGATTTGATTATTTAAATCTCTGCCATGTATTTGGGAGGTGATATATATGAAGTTAATTTGGGAATATTAGTTTTACAGATTCCTATGGGTATATATAACTTATTCAATGGTATTCAATTTTCATACTGAACTCCACAAGCAAACTTTTACTGCAGGACTATAGCTTTTGTTTTGTTATATATTCCATCTGGTTACCAAGCAGTAGAAAACAATCTGACCATGTTTTCTGCTCTTTAATTTGAGCTGCTTTAAACTGCTCAATTTATAGAAAATGAAAACCAGATTGATCTTCTGGAAATTGCCCCATCACCCCTGCCAGTTCCCACCAGCCCTATCATTTACTATTAATTTTTCTATGGTGTGTTGTGTACACTTTTTTAATGAGAACTTGCTCCAGTAGAGAATAGACCTATGTGACCTATTAAAGCCCTGAAGCAAATGGCCATGGCATCTTGAACTCTTCATTACACTGCCTTACTTTTATTTACCATGGTCCCATCATATTCAGGATTATTTGCCTGAGGAGACGCTCTAAATGATGCCTTTGTTTCTCTTTCTAAGGCTTTACATTTTTTTGTATGTTTGAATGAGGGTATTTTCTGAAAAAGGAACCCAACAAACTAGAACATGGATAGCAGCTTTGTGTAGATGGAGGGTCTGATTTGATAGGGCATCTTGCATCTTTGTTGGAGAATCTCTATTTGTTTGCTGAGTGTCCAGTCACAAGAGTTAGCTTTGTTCTTCCCCCCTGCAAGGATTAATCTGAAAGGTCCACAAGAAAAGGCTGGGAATTCCAGCACTCCCTGGTGGATGTTATGTCAGATATGTTGTATGCTTCCTTGGGCATAAAAGCTGACGTTGTGATGAAAGGGGAAAGCCAATGTTCAGGCTGCTCTCCTAGGGACATTGATGATGTTTGTTGCATGTGAATAGCACAATAAATTTATGAGACAGTTATGAGAGGTTTCTGCTTAAAATAGTTCTGCTTTATGGGTGTAATGGTTACAGTCCCTGGGGGAACGCTGCCTAGTCAAGTGAGTCTTTCCAAGCACTGGATTTGCATATTTTAAATAGATTTTTCAAATCATTTGATAGAAAAACAGTCTGGCTTTTGTCCTTTCAGAGTGAAATGAGAAGAAGGAAATTAATATTGTAATGTGGGACTGCAGTCAGGATAGAGAAAAGTTCAGAATAAGACCTGGCACTTAGTTTCTAGTAAAAGCACCGAGATGTAAATGAAATTAAAGAAAAAATGTCCTGTGCCTTGGCTTAGGTCTCTTCCAGAGCACTTCTATCTGTATTTCACGCTCTACCAACATTTTGTCCACTTTATAAACGTCTCTGCACCTTGACATGCAACAACTACTGAGTAATCAGTGAATGCTAGGATTGCTCCTGTAATAACTTCAGTCTGAGAATCTGACAGGTAGCAAATGTACCCATGAGCTGCCAAGCCCAGAGAAAAACTATTAATCATAAGCATTTCTAGCTCTAAAAATATAGATCATAGCTGTATCTTGTGAGAGATCTTGTAGGTGAATCCAACTCCATCCTAATTAGAGAATTGAAAGGGGAGAAGTAAACTTTTCAGTTCTGAGACTTCACCTCTGAGCCCTTATGAAGCCGAGTTAGCAATGAGCCTCCTGCAGTCCCACCTTTGCTGAGGGGGACACACTCTTCAACAGGGCTGTTAAGACCATCTCTAACTACTGCTCTGAATCTCCCTCTGTAGGGAACAACCCTGGCTTCTGCCTGCAGAGGGAAATGAGCTAAATTAGCCAGCATTCCTTGCACCCAGAGCTGGGTGTTCCTCATCTAATATAGGAATCTTGCAGCAGATACTCAAAAAGGTTCTGTGGCTGCTGCAGAAAAATCTGCCCACTGCTCATAGCAGTGGTGCAGGTTGGCATCTCTGTCCTAATGAGGATGAATTGGTTTTTTCCTCCTCACCAGAACCTCCCAAAAGCAGCAGATCATTCTGCTGCCTTTACTCTGCATGCTCTGAAGGCAAGCACGAAATGTCAATGTATGCTCAGGCTGCATATACTGCTGATCATGCTATGGAAAGCTGGGCTGTTCCATGGGTGATTGTTCAGCAAACAGCCCCTGCTTGTGTCCCTGGGAACAAGCATTTTTTTGTTGTTTGGGAGCAAGCATCTCTGGAGTTAAATGAGGAGGGC